CCCCCTAGCTCCCCCCAAACCTTCCCAGTCTTCCCCGTACTCCTCCTCCCTCCTCCTCCTCCTCCTCCTCCTCCCTACATCCTCCTAATACTAATACATAATTCCTCCTATAAATCCCTCACATCATTATAATAAATCAAATTCCATGTTGCATCCTTGTATATTGCCAGTTCTCCTGAGCCTCCTCTCCCTCCCCCTCATCCTCCTACTCTCCTTCTCATTCTTCCAACTTCCTTGTCTCCTTGTTCTCCTCTGCATGCTTCTCCCGCGACCTCCTCCCCCTTCCACCCCCATCCTCCTACCTCCTTATTATACCCTCCCTTTGCCTCCTTGTCTAATAGGCACCTTTTCCTCTCCTCCTCATCCTCCTACTTCTCCCCTTCCTTCTCCTTGCCTCTCGGCCGTTCTCCTCCCCTGCGCCCTCCCCACCCCGTCCCCTCCTCATCATCCTCCGTCCCTGCTACCCCTCTTCCTCCTCCTCCTCCTCCTCCTCCTCCTTGTCCTCGAAAGAGCGTCAACTCGGCTTGGGAACTGCGCGTGGCAGCCAAACTCTGAAAGCATGGGGAGGGGAAATAATGGGAAGGAACGACGGGACGGAAGGGGAGAGAGACGGAAGGAGGAGAGGACACGGATGGGAGGGAGGACATTTTTCCTTCCAGTCGCGCGGACGCCAATCGCGCGCCGCCCGTCGATGCGACACACGCCGGCCAATTGGGCCGCGATGCGCAGAGAGCGCGTTAGAACACTACTGCAGTCCAACAGGCGACGAGCCAAACGCACGCCAGCCAGTCAGGTACGGATGAGTGGAAGTATAAAACTCTGAGCGCATGCAAGGTCCTCGGCCCTCCCCCCCCCAGATGGGATGGGTCCCGGGGTCCTCGGGCCCCCCCCCGGATGGGATGGGGGCGGGGGAGGAGGAGGAAGTGGAGGAGGAGGAAGAGGAGGAGGAGAAGAAAGACGAGGAGGACGACGGCAATGACGACGGCAGTGACGACGACGGCTATGACGACGACGACGACGACGACGACGACGACGACGACGACGACGACGACGACGACACCGACAACGACGACAAAGACGACGACGACGACAACGACGACGACGTCGACGTCGTCGGTAGCTGTCAACATGACGGCAATCCCAGCCACACGCCGCACCCACACCACACCCACAGGGGGGGAGGGAGGGGGGGGAGGAGGACCATGGCGTCACCCCGCACACACCCACAAAACAAAAACAACAACACACCCCACACCACATCCGCAGAGCGGGGGGAACCACCACGCCACGCCACGCCAAGGGGGGGAGGGGCATCGGCGGGGGGCGGAGGGGGGGGACGACGGCATTAGCATTGGGGGGGCGGCGGGGGGCCAAACTCTCGACATATTATTATGGGTCGAGGGTTTGCCCCCCCCCCCCCCCCCCCCCCCCCCAAAGCTAATGACATCGGGCCCACCCCCCCCCGCGATGCCCCCCGTGGCGTGGGCGTGGCGTGGTGGCTGCCCCCCCCCTATGTGGATGTCATCATCATCGGTGTGTTGCTGTGGGCGTGTGCGGGGTGACGCCATGGTCCTCCTCCCCCCCTCCCTCCCCCCCTGTGGGTGTGGTGGGGGTGCGGCGTGTGGCTGGGATTGTGGCGTCGTGTTGACAGACGTCGTCGCCGCCGCCGCTGGTGGTGCCGTCGACGTCGTCGTCGTTGTCGTCGTCGTCGTTGTCGTCGTCGTCGTCGTCGTCGTCGGTGTCGTCGTCGTCGTCGTCGTCGTCGTCGTCGTCGTCGTCGTCGTCGTCGTCGTCGTCGTCGTCGTCGTCATAGCCGTCGTCGTCGTCGTCCTCCTCCTCCTCCTCCTCGTCCTCGTCCTCCTCCTCCTCCTCCTCCTGCTGCTCCTCTTCCTCCCCCACCGCATCCCATCTGGGGGGAGGGGGAAGGGGGGCCGAGGACCCCGGGACCCATCCCATCTGGGGGGGGGAGGCCGTGGGCCCATCTGGGGATGGGGGGGGGGAGGACGAGGAGGAGGAGGAGAGGAGGAGGAGGAGGAGGAGGAGGAGGAGGAAGAGGACGAGGAGGGAGGAGGAAGGAGGAGGAGGAGGAGGAGGAGGAGGAGGAGGAGGGAGGAGGAAAAGAAGGAGGAGAGGAGGAGGAGGAGGAGGAGGACGACGGCAATGACGACGACGACGACGACGACGACGACGACGACGACGACGACGACGACGACGACGACGACGACGACGACGACGACGACGACGACACCGACAACGACGACGACGACGACAACGACGACGACGACGACAACGACGACGACGTCGACGGCACCAGCGGTGGCGGCGACGACGTCGAGCACTGGAGCTGTCAACATGATGCCAATCCCAGCCACACGCCGCACTCACACCGCACCCACAGGGGGGAGGGAAGGGGGGAGGAGGACCATGGCGTCACCCCGCACAACCCACAGCAACACATCACACCGACACCACATCCACAGGGGGGGGGAGCCACCACGCCACGCCCACGCCCACAAGGGGGAGGGGGGGGCATCGCGCGGAGGGGGGGGGCCCGACGGCATTAGCATTGGGTGGGGTGGGGTGGGGTGGGGTGGGGGGGGGCAAACCCTCGGGTGGGGGTGGGGGGGGGCAAACCCTCGACCATATATACTATAACCATCGCGCGCGCTTCGCGCGCGCTCAAGTTCTAGCTGGGCCCGACAGGCTAACGCATGGAATTTCAATTGTTGACGCGCCTTATGTATCTAACGACCTTGTTGCAGTCCCTTCGCAAGCCTCGGAAACGTATAGAAGGGGAAATGCGGAAACCACAAAATCATCAACTTGCTTTAGGTGCTCGATGATTCGGGGCCCTCGAAGGCTTCCTGGGATCTTTCTTCGATGGTGACGGGGGCCTTAATGATGGTCTGATGTGCAAAAATAAACGGGGGGTAAATTTGAATTGGCCTGGCGAAGGACTCATCCATATGCAGTTGTGAGTACCGCTGTTCTAGGCATCGTCTTCGGTGGAGCCCCCTTGTAGGGCCACGAAACGCTGCCCCAAGAAGAACCCCAAACAGCCTCCGCGAATCCCAAGAAACCCGTAATGTGTGGGCTGTGCACGGACACGCACAGGTATGCGCAGACATTTTCACATGCACACGTACGAATATGTGAGAGAGCGTGATCCACCGCCGCTTTACTATGAAAAATTCCCCCCCCCTCTTCCTCTGGAACCCGGGGATCCCCCCCCCTCCGAACATCCCCCCCCTGCTGGACCCCCCCCTTCCTCCCGACAAAGCCCCCCCTCCCTAACCCCCCCCCCTCTGGAAAACCGAAAGGGGCCACTACCGGTTCGAACCCCCCCCGTCTCCGGAAAACCGGG